GACATTGGATCCAGACTCGACATTGGGATTCAGACATTTTGACGAGGGACTATTTGGGCCTGTGCTGAACACTTGGTGTTGACGACATTCCCATCTTCCCTTCTTCTTCGTCTAACCCCACCTCCTTYGTCTGTGTATGGTTGGGGCTGGCGCAGTCTTCTTGTGTGAAGCGCCAGACCCCTTCACACCATGATGATGATGATGTATGTTCGGGGCTGCATTACAATATTGATTGTTCGGATCATTGGTATCTAAGTCTTCCGCTGTGCTATCTTATACTGTATTGAAAGGTCGGTTCTTGTTCTGGTCTGCACCTATACAGTATGCAACAGCCCCTGTAGAGTAAGGCTCCCCAACGCCTCCCCACCCATTCCCCAAAAACACACACCGTGACCGCAGAAACCCTATCCCGACTAAAGCATACCGATCAAATGAAGCAGTCAATTATCCTCGATGAGGATCTCATGATGGAATACACAAGAGGGTGTACTAGAGACGAGAACAATCGTGAACGAGAGTGGCAGAAGAGACGTTCTGATTACTACCAGAACAGTTTGCAGTAACGACCCCCTAATAAAGGATTTGCTTGAAGATGATATTTCTAACGATACAGATGATGGTAATAATGACGAAGGTATTAATGACTTTTGGAAGAATGGGTGACCAAAAACGGTACCCTAAGACTAATCTTTTTTTTAGGATGGTATTAGTACTGATGATCTTAAGATATATATTTCAGTCTGCTCTGCACACATTTGTGTGTGCTACCTGTGATGACAAGGGCAACAAAAGTCAAAAGTCTAGTTCTGCAGTGTTTCCAAGCCATGAAGAAGGACATGTTAGCAGGATTGAGACTGCAGTTCTCAGAGTGGCTGTTCCACAGAGTTCAGCCATTTGACAAAAATGTGTTTTTTAACTTTTTTTCCTTGGAGAAACTACCCAGCGTACGAGTGAGGTTTCTGTACAAAAGAAAAAGAAAGTATGGGCATTTACCGTTTGAACGACCCTATTAGCCAAACCCTAACCAAAATGGCAAAATCGTATTGACCTCGACATCGTGCAGATACAGATCTAGTCCAAGTACATGTGAGAGAAGGGATTCTCACAAATTTTGTAACAAGTTAAAATAACACCCGGGGTGGTGCTAGGGGTGCTGATAAGAGCAGACACCGCTAGCACTCCCAGGAAGGCTCAACAACTCACTCTTTTTCTGCATGCGAGGGCCAGAATATCCTTTGAGGTGTGAAGACAGCTATGCCGGCAAGCATTTCCGTGTTAGTCACGCCATGATCTGGAACCGCGCACTGTCAGAGGCTGCCACCTTGACGAGGGTCTTGCCGTGGAACAGCTGTGTCGGCGGGGGGCAGCCTATCACATTCTCGTGTTAGGCGGATGTGAAGCATGTGAAGCATGTGAAGGTGCCATAATGTGGTACAGGACACCGTCTTGCCTTGGGAAGAACTTGAAGCTGCATACCAACGTGCCTTGCTGTGGCACAGGATACTGTCTTGCCTTCGGCAGAAGCAGCACACCAATGTGCCTGGCTGAGGTTAAACCGCCACCCGTACCCCCGACAGTTGCGGCCGTAAACGAGCACTACGCGCTCGATTGAACGGGCCTGGACGGGAGCGCCCAAATTCATCCGAGTCAAAACGATTCTACTCTATTTTTTCCCGCAGCCAATACATAGCCGGGGTGCTGGCGGTTCAAGGACACTCTGTGTCGCCTTCCTGTGTAGCGCAGCACACAGCCGTACCACGAGCCGAAGTAGCACACCAAGGTGCCTTGCTGTGGGATACGACATCCTCTTGCTTCAGGCAAAAGGAACACTCCATCTTACCCTTTGCAAGAAGTTGTGTAGGTGGAGGCGGCCAGGGTGAGGGGAGGACGCGGGGGGGGAGGACGGCGGACGGGGTAACCCCCCCACCAAGATTTTCCTGGTATGCAAAAAGCAGAGTCTGGATGAAGTGTATATGAAACTTGTCATTGACACGCAAAAAGCATTAAAAAATCCTGCAAGGCCAATGGGCGAGAGTGGATGGCACTGTAGCAACCCCCCCTTGAACAGGCGGCTCGAGCCACAAGGGTAGGCTGTCTCTCTTTTCTGTCTGATCTCCCCCTCTGCTTGTTTTTTTTTCCCTTTTCCTTCCACACATGGGCAAAAGAAAACTAAGATTTGCCGACCCTGTCTCTCTTTTCTGTCTGATCTCCCCCTCTGCTTGTTTTTTTTTCCCTTTTCCTTCCACACACGGGCAAAAGAAAACTAAGATTTGCCGACCCTGGGTCCCACCCCCAATTTCTTCGGGAACTGGCAAAAACTTATAATTTCCCAACACTGGCAGAGGTACTAGTGTACTAGTGGTTTAAATTACTTTTTCTTAATTACTTTTTCAAAGTTTTTTTTAATTACTTTTTCGAAGTTCTTTTAAATTACTTTTTTTAATTACTTTTTCACTAGCCTACCAGCCGGGCCGCCCGGGTCACCCTATGCAGAAAAATAAACTGAACAACTTTTGGCTCAGGGTCACATCAAAATTCTTTACCAAATTTCAAATAAAAAATAAAGTTCAAAAAAAAAAATTATTTTTATTTTTTTGTTGTCTTTTGGCCCGGGCGGGCAAGTGGCCCCGGGCCACTCTGGTAGCCTAGCTTTTTTAAGTATTTTACAGTTTTACTTCGTTTTTTTTTTTAACTTTTTTTAAACTTTTATTTTATTTTATTTTATCCCTCTTTTTTACTTAAAAAAGGTTGATACTACTCACAGATACAAGATAGGCACACAAACAGTGCCACATTTGCAGGTTTGCACCAAAACTTCGGGCACCAAGTGCGATCTTTGCATAGTGCAACAGTTGTACCCCATCATTTTCGTAAATCCAGTGGTGAAAGAATCACAAAATGCGCAAAGGATTTCAATGCGTGAAATGCCTGAAATGCAATCACGTACGCTGCTACACATCCCAATTTTCTTTTCTTTTCATTCTGCTTCCTCCTGCTACAAATTGTTCACGTAGTGGCGTGGAGCGATGTCGTGCGCTCTCTCGCCCGTACTCCGCCGTCGCGTTCGTGAAACCGGCAAATGCACGAAAAAGGTGGACAATGCACACACAGGTTTCAGAAAGAAGAGAGAGGCCTATACTCTCTCACAATCGTTTCAATGCCATTTACGACGAGTCAGCAGTCTCAGACTCCAGCCTGAGCGCTCCCCCTTGTCAATGTCCCCTCTCCCTCCCGAGTCCCCTACCTACCCCTGCACACAGGTTTCGGAAAGAAGAAGAGGAGAGAGGCCTATTATACTCTCACAATCATTTCAATGTTTTTTTTTTTTTTTTTTTTTTCCCAATGTCATTTCAATGTCATTTCAATGTCATTTACAATGAGTCGGTGGTTCTGAAATTCCAGCCTGAACACTTTTCTAAAAATTCGAAATGATGAAAAACTTCAAAAAAGGTTAAAAAACAACACCTCCGCCCCCTTTCCGCCCTTTTCTTCTCTTCTTCCTCCTCCTCTCTCAAAGCCAAGACCAACCACACATGCCACTTACATAAACAAGCAGCATACATAAACAAGCAGCATGATTTTCTCAACATTCATCGAATCTGGACACACTGCCGCACATCCCATTTCCCTCACGTCTCACCGCCTTTTTCCCACTAATAATTGTGCACACCTAATGTCCAACTAATCTATCTGTAGAATTGTCTTGAGAGTCGAGACGCCCTGATCCTCGCACGACATGAATGACGATCACCGGACCCGCATGAGCGCTAAAAATTGCAAGAATTCCAACACTTCCCACCCCTCAGAGAGAGACAGAGAGAGAAAAACAAAAACAAAAAAAGGGAACGAAAAGACACCGACACGACCTGCACAGAGCAAGATGATTATTTCACAAATCACGAGCCTTTTGACGCAAAGACATGTACAGACGTTGACGCATACATGGGATGCTCTCCCTCCCCTTGTCTACGCACAGACATACACGTACACATACAGGCACTCGCACATGCGCTTCCACCTTCTCTTCCACATGGCTCCTCCCCCCCCCCCCCCCCCCCCCCCCCCCCCCCCCCCCCCCTTTCCCCCCCCCCCCCCCCCCCCCCCCCCGCCGCACCCCCCCCAATCTTTCCCTTCGGACCTCATCATCCCATCCCCCTCTTCTCCCGTCCCCACACCTCCACTACCTTCCCTGTTCAGTGCTCGCCTGTAGCATGCAAACCAAATGCATGTGAATGACCACCACAAGAATACACTGCCACGGCATACACGAATAATGTCGTTCTACAATTTCTCCCACCCACTACAACCATCAGTTGGGACCTGACAGTACTGTAGGACTGACACCTGACATCAGCGGAAGGAAACCTACAAAAATGCATACATTGTCCTTTCCATCTGCTGCTTGTCACACACACACCCTTCCTCTCCACATCTCACACAATAAAACCCAGCCTTTGACGCTCTCCTCTTCGTCGTCCCTACGTCTACCACTAATCTACTACCAACCTGGCTCTCACCTGGCAGAGTTCGTTTACGTAAGAGACCCAAACCAGGAGGCCGGTCAAAAACTAGGGATCAGGTGCCATTCCGGGACCACACGCTGGTCCTGCTGCAGTCCCATGTGAATGATGAGGTCCCATTGCGCCCAACGACTCTCCATTGCTGCCCCCAGTGTGACCACTTTGGTGTTCCCCGGCTTCCCCTCGGGTTAGGACCACCTCCCTCTCCCTTGAATGCGCTTGCAGGCCACCTACCGCACTTGGCAGAGACGATGTCGCGCAAGCGGCTGGTTCCTGAGTATCCTGCATGTGCACATCTCCATCTTCCACCTCCTTCTCCAGCTCCATGTCGTCACCCTGCGAAAAAACATCCATGGCTCTCTGGTTCAGCATACTTGCCCATTCAACTACCACCCATGAAGCAAGAATGTGCTGTGGGGGATGGGCCTAGACAAAGACGATACAGCGGGGGAAAGACCAGGAGGGATACATAAGACATGCACACGCAAAAATAAAAAAGGAGAAAAGGACATGCACACAGTCACAACCCTACAGCGAGAAACGGGAGCGTCAACAAGAAAAAAAAAAAAAAAAAAAGGGAGAAACGGGAGCGAAATCAGTGGAAAGCAGGAAGACGGAGGAGGAGAAACGAGGAGGGCACCACCACAGGTAAGATATCGCATCATAAGAAGAATAGTGCTGTATTGATCGGCGATGCCGCGATACAGTATCACTCCAGATTTGCAGTGCCATTGTCGTGTCCAAAACCGCATCCATGGGGAGATACAGGCATGTCTCCACAAACAGGGAGTCTAGCAACACGCAGAGAGCTTAATCCACTTCTCTTGACGTTTCCGCCTGCCTTTGACTCCCTTCTAAGAACAGAACTTGCTGCCTTGGATATCAACCTTCTTCCCCCGAATACAGCAACATACGGTCACCATAGATAGCTGTATTTAGACTGAAAGATACGCCAAATGACCGTACGTCGTATTCGGGAGAAGAAGGTAACACAATGCCAGGTGTCCTTTCCTGCATACTAGTCACACCGGAACGACACGGATGGGAGAATGTAAACGATCACAGCCGATAATATCTCCTCCTTTCAGAGATCCGTTAAAAATTAAAATTGGAGCGCTACACACAAGATTAGCACGGCCCCAGACAGCACAAGAATCACACCCAACAAAGCCAAGAAATTGTCGAAATCGGAAAAAAAAAAAAAAAAAAACGGAGGGGAGAATATAACCGATCAGAGTCAGAGCGGATAATATCTCGTCCTTCCTGACATCCGTTTAACCCGCGGCACAAGGATGACACACACAAAATCTTGAAACGGTCCCGAAAAAAAAAGAAAAAAAAAAAGAGCTTATAGCAGTATCAATTCAAGCAACACAAGGTGGAAACCAGGTTTTGTTGCAACCACCACCAACCCTACGCTCCCTGCTCAAGCAGGAAGACCAGAGAGGCATTATACCTCACAAGCGTTCCAGCAGCGACTTCCAGGATCCTCCACCGTCTCTTCTTGTTAACTCAGATGAGCTAGCGGAGTGCAGGCAGCGAATCGATCGACGAACCAAGTGAGCGAAAACAAACAAAAAAAGGCACACACACCTTTGTCTTCCCTCCCTCGAGGACTCAAATGGGTAGGGAGTTTTTTACTGTATAACACATCTGCCTGAGGCTGTCGGTTGAGCCCCACCATCCCCAGGCACAGCAGAGTTCTCCGTGGTACCCCTCAACTTCTTGAGCTGCTCCGACTGTGTCGGTTGCTCTCCTGAAAATTGCCTTCGCTTACCAAACCCGGAGCCTGAGAAACAGTACGATTGCGTTTTCCTTGCCGGAAACTGTTCACAGGACAAAAGTGGCAGATTGGCCAAGAGGGGCATAGCATTTCAAGCCACCAAGAGGGGGGATTGGTTATGGTGGGAGGAGCAGTTTCAAATTTTCAATACAACAGTCGCAATGTGCGTCTTAGAGACTGTCACCAGAACAACCCACCCCCTTTTTTTTGTGCGTCTTAGACTGTCATCAGAACAACCCACCCCCTTTTTCTTCCACCCGGACAAGTGCATCCAAAATTGAAACAGGCCGAACTTGCAATCTTCACACCATATGCGATGTTGTAGATGATTGTACCATTTGACGAAACGGCCGTTTCATTGTCGTACTCTGAGAGAGGTGCGCAAGGTCGACTGCATGCGTGTACTAGATCGAGGAAGGTGTACACACCTGTGTGCTTTTCAGCACACCAGGCACATCTTTTTGTGATGCGCGTTCGACACAAGCGGTTAACGGGTAGCTGAAAATTCAGGAATGAAAATTCTGAAGTGAGAGTTTTGGGCAGTCTGAAAATCCTGAATGGTCCTGAAGTGGTGAAAGGTCCGAAGACCCTGAAAACCACCTGTTTAGGCAGGCTGCATCCTAAAGTGGTGAAGTGAGAGTTTTGGGCAGTCAGAAAATCCTGAATGGTCCTGAAGTGGTGGAAGGTCCAAAGACCCTGAAAACCACCTGTTTAGGCAGGCTGCATCCTGAAGTGGTGAAGGGTGTCTTGAAATGGTGATGAAAAATACAACTGTTGTTAACCTTCTCTCGAGTTCGAATGCAGCAAGTTTGTTTTTCAACACACAAGACACCTTTTTTTTAATGATGCTCCTTCGTATAAATTTACAAGTTCAGCATGAGGGAACGGAAGACGAAAGGGGAGGGAGAGCAGGTCGGGAAAGAAGAAAAAGAGGGGGTGAAAAGCGAGGAGAAGAGAAGGGGAAAGAGGTACGTCATTGTGTCCTCAATGCTCACAGGCAGGGCAGACTGGCACAAGAGGCCAGTCAGAGGTTGGGTTGCAGGGAAAAATTGAGCCGAGGATTAGGCGTCGCCTACAATATTAAGTGGCCACCTCCTCAAAGAGGACTGGACCGGACCGAACCGGACCGGTTTGGGTGTGCTCCGTGGAAGCACCGTCTCCAATTCTTGCAGTTGCAGTTGGTGCAATAAATGGCACCGTGCCGACAGATGACGCTCCGGCTCCCATATATGATAGGGGAACACAACGGCACGGCACCCACAATTGTACAGGTGCTTGCCATATCAGGGTATCGTATATGAGTATAACGTTGACTTTCATCTTTGGTATGAAAACAATAATGCGCATGGGCTACATACGCTTAATAGTCCTCACGACACAAAATGCTGATTACATGCCAGCCAAACATTAGGTGGCTGATCACGTTGCAGCGTTGAGCGCGTTTTTTGGGGTTACGCAGTCGACACTGCCCGTCTATGGACAGGCCATGACGGGGGGGACCTGCTTGAAAGTAGCCGTTGGTTCATGTGAGACTATGTTCTCTGCGTCAGGCTGTTGTGCCTGTTCCTTGTATGGTGACGATACTAACCTCTCAGCGCAGTTCAGTACAGGTGGTTTATGCTACAAGACTCCAGAGTTTGTTCTCCACCTCAGGCTGCTGTGCCTATTTCCTTGTCTGGCAAGGAGGGACGAGGTCCAATTACAGGTGCAGAGGGAGGAAGTCCAGTGCTGCATCTGGGACATGACTGGAGTGGATGCAGTATGTGATGGCATCAGGGGGGATGGTCCACAAAGTAGAGACGCATACTCTCCATTACAGCTTGACTGACGACAAACGGCATCCTGCCGACACTCTATTAAGAAAGTAGCCTCACAGCCAAAGCTATTCAAGCATGGGATGTCGTCACGGCCACAACCGCTTATCGGGCAACTACTAAGGGGTTGCGCGAATGAAAGACAAAGACATGCGTCACAGCTCTCACGGCAGAGGCTGGCAGTGATCATTCCATAACATTGGAGCAGAGATTATGCCCTATCTCATCACCAGGGGCAGAATCGTCCTGATCTGGACAGGCACTAACGCAGCCTGGCCAGGTACTAGCAGAGCTTGGGACCGCACATTTGCATACTGTTCCCAATTGAGGAGCGAGACTGAGAGGGACTGCATCACTCAGTGTTAGCAGTAAGGGGAAACAAGACCCAGTGAGTTGACTCTTCTGTGCCATTGTCCCAAAAAGTGTCCATTGCATATCCGCAAAGGTAATGGTGCTGAAGCAGGGCTGTAAACCCGGTCCCACCGGGTGGTCCACCCACAACCGGAACCGGGCCGATAGGACCGGCCGGTCCATCGGGCCGGTTGCCCTCCGGTCGGCTATACGGCATAGCCAAAATCTGGCCGACTCGATTTTTTTTCGGGCCAGGAGGCCCCCACGCGGGTTGTGGGGGCCTCCTGACCCTCAAAAAATTTCAAATGGGTCTGGTAGGGCAGCCTCCAAGTTTCGAAAAGGGCTGCCTCTCTGGACCGCTGATCTCGAAAGATCAGCGGCCCAGATGAGGACTCCCTTTTCGAAACTGCCTCCGAGTTTCCAAAAAGGCTGCCTCTCTGGACCGCTGATCTCGAAAGATCGGCGGCCTAGATGAGGCCTCCCTTTTCGAAACTTGGGAGGAGCTGCCGCTCCCTCCCGCCTACGACTTCCCGCCTCCCCCCGACTCACCTGCCGTTCCGTCAACAAGCCAACGCCCCCGTTTTCGTCGCCCGTCGCCGTCGTCATCGTTGTGCAGCAAAGCCAGCCCCCCCGCCCGCCAGCGCACCACAGGTACGTTTTCTTCTTCTTCTTCTTCTTCTTCTTACATTCTAAGGAAGTGTACGCGTGCGAGTAGGCGCCGGATACACACACACACACACAGAGAGAGAGAGAGAGAGAGAGAGAGAGAGAGAGAGAGAGAGAGAGAGAGAGAGAGAGAGAGAGAGAGAGAGAGACCCCAATCTAACTACCTACGCGCCAGCCAAACCCCCCCACCCACGATCAAGTGTGGTATCTGCTCTGATCAGTTTCATCCTGATTCATGGTCCATGGAGACCCCAACCGAGACCTGTTGGATATCAGGACTAGCACGGTTCCGCTTTTGAACCCTGCGTCGGGGCTATAGTGGTTAAAAGACTTGGTTCCTCTGGCTGAGGGTGCCGGTTCGAGGCCGTCCGTGTGCGGCGGCAGGCATGGATCAGAATCTACCTGTCGGATCATGGGTAACTACGTATCGCCAGCGTTCTAAAGAACTTGGAGACTGATTCTTTTCTTTTTTCAAACGGCTAATCATTTCGACAGAGTGCTACAAGAGATTCTCATGACTAGAAGGCGTACTAAAAAAAATGCTTCTCAAACACACAACTACGTACGAGCTCGATTCTACCAATCTGAATCGTGCTGCGGGCCAAAATGGAAACAAATCAGCGCAGCCACTATTTCATTTCATTTTGGCTATCAGTGCCAGTCCTTTTCGTCCGGTAGCCCCAAAAGTTTCGCATGAATGCTAACTCACCCTTTCGCTTGTCTGGGGCATGTAGTGTTGATTTAATTTCTAAACAACTTTACAGCTAGGTTACCAGTTGTCCTATTCGGAGACGTCCTGGCTGGACGTCTCCAGCGGACAACTCGGACCGAGTTGTCCGGGATCCCGAACAAGTCGATTTCGGGCATTAATAAAGACGGAAAAAAAAAATTGGGGGGGCTCTGCGCTACATGCGGAGACCCCATACAAAAAATATGAAGTGGTTTGGAGCAATAAAAAAAAAGAAATGAAAGACTCCGACTCCGAAGACTCCAAATGTGTACTGTGGGGGGGTTGGGGTGTGTGGACAGTCCACTGCAGCACATACTGCGGGTGGGTCATGTGTGCCATGAGAAGCATTTGCTGCAGCGGAGGTGGCAGGTGTTGTAGCTGCGGTGCCATCAGCAGATGGAGCAAGTGCTGTGCCTGCTGCATGTGGTGGATAGCATCCTGCCCATGAAGCAGCCAGCTGCTGAAGGTGCCGCAGCTGAAGCAGCAGATGCGGCACTGCTACACACACGGACACAACTTGTGACAAGCATACATGCACACACACGGACGCACATACACAGACACACACACACGCACGCACGCACGCACACACACACACACACACACACACACACACACACACACACACACACATGAAGTTGTTCATTGTGTTTGATTGACAGATTGACTGATTGTCTGATTCGGTGGAGGAGGGCGAGCAGGAATGGCAGCGCAAACACCCTTGTTTTCGTACTTCCCCCTGTCGATCCCATTCAATTTTTTTTTCCTTTTTTTTTCACTTATTCAATCAATCAATCAATCAATCAATCAATCGCTCATTCGATCTATCCATTCAGGATCCAATCGAATGAATCTCAAATCTTCCTCCTCGCCATCCCGCTGCTCGCCCTCCTCGTCCTCCTCCCCCTCCTTGTCATTCCGCTCCTCGTATTTGTTACCCTCCTCCTCCTCATCATCATCATTATCATCCCGCTCCTCCTCTTCCTCCTTTCCGTCCTCCTATTCGTCGCCCTTGCCCGCCGTCGCAACCACATGCTGCATCTTCGCCGCGGCACCCCCAACCCGTTCTCGCCTCTACTTCAAACCCTCGATCCTGCCTGACCCCTTCTCAATCAATCAATCAATCCAATCTATCACTCTATCGGTTCAAGATCCAATCAATAAGATCTTGAATTGATAGAGTGATTGATTTTAAAAAAAAAAATCCTCCGCCCCGCTCCTCCTCCTCCTCCTCCTCCTCCTCCTCCTCCTCCTCACCCTGCTCCTCCTATTCGTTACCCTCATTCTCCTCCTCCTCCTCATTGTCCTCGTCCTCCTGGTCCCCCTCCTCGTTAGCCCTATCCATGTATTCATTATCCTCCTCCTCCTCGTCGTCCCGCTGCTCCTCTTCCTCCCCCTTTGCGTCTTTGTATTCACTGTCCTCCTGTTCATTGTCCTCGGCCACCGTCAGCGGATTAACGAATGGGAGGCCTTTTTTCCCCCTTTTTGCAATCAATCATTCGATCAGTCAATCTATCAAATCCAACCAATCGATCAATCATTCAATCATTCAATCAATCACTTCGTCGATTACCAGTATCGAATAGACGGAGTGATTGACTGAATGATTGACTGAATGATTGATTGATTTATTGATTGATCTATTGGTTGGATTGATTGATTGATTGATTGACTGATTGATTGATTGGATTGGATTGGATTGGATAGATTGACTGATCGATTGATTGATTGAAAAAAGGAAAAAAAAGGGCCTCCCATTCGTTAATCCGCTCCTCCTCCTCCTCCTCCTCCTCCTCCTCCTTGTCATCCCGCTCCTGTTCGTCGTCCTCCTCCTTTGCACCGCAGCTCGACTTTCGATCATCCTGCATCGCAAGTTCTGCTTACGAAATATGGCCCACTTGGAGCTTTCATTGCTCGTCGAGGTTCGCTTGCGCAACCCCGAAATCTTACCTGTTAAAAGTTTGAGAATAGGTCGAGGGTGTTTCACCCTCGAGACCTCTAATCATTCGCGTTACCCGATAAAACTGTTGAACAGATCCACCTATCATAAGGGAAACTTAGGAGGGAACCATCTACTAGACGGTTCGATTAGTGTTTCACCCGTATCCTCGGCATCCCGCTCGTCCTATTCGCCGTCGTCCTCCTCCTCATCATCATCCCTGTCCTCCTAATCATTACCCTCCTCCTCCTCCTCCTCCTCCTCCTCCACCTCCCCCTCCTTATCCCTCCTCCTCCTCCTCCTACTCGTTATCCCGCTCCTCCCATTTGTCACCGTCATCCTCCTCCTCCTCCTCATCGTCCTCCTCCCACTCCATAGATTCGTTATCCTCCTCCTCCTCCTCGTTCTCCTTGTCATCTTCCTTTGCCCAGTCATCATTCCCCTCCTCGTATTCATTGCAACATGTGCCCGCCATCGCGGCCACATGTGGGGCACCTCCTCCGCGACCGCCATCGAGGCCACATGCCTGGCACATCCCGATTGAGATCCAGGCAGCCTTCGTGCCCGCCATTGCGGCCACATGCCAGGCACATCCCGATTGAGATCCAGGCAGCCTTCAATCAATCAATAAAGCGACCAATCAATGCAATGCAATGAATCAATCAATCAATCATCCAATCAATCAATAGATCGATTTGAGATCCAACCCATCAATCAATGCAATCAATCAATCAATCATCCAATCAATCACTATATCGATTTGAGATCCAAAAATGGATATAGTCATTGATTGGATGATTGATTGATTGACTGATTAATTGCATTGATTGATTGATCTGTTCATTGATTGATCGACTGATTAATTGATTGAAAAAAAAGTGGTCGTATCTGTTACCCCGCTCCTCCTGCTCCTCCTCCTCCTTGTTCTCGCCATCCCCCTCGTCCTCCTCCTCTGTGCTTTTTTTTTTCAATCCATCAATCCATCAACCAATCCATCAATCAATCCATCGATCAATCAATCCATCAATCAATCACGTCAATCTCCATCCAATCAATCAATCAATCCATTCACGACTCCAAATCGCTTGAATCGTGAATCGATTGATTGATTGGATGGAGATTGACGTGATTGATTGATTGATTGATTGATTGAAAAAAAAAGGGGATCGATTTGTGCAAGAGGAGGATGGAGCAAAAAGCCATAAAGGCTTGGGGGCTGCCGATTGAAAAAAAAGGTGATTGATTTCTGCACATCTGGAGGAAGGAGGAGGTACGAGGAGGGGAAAGAACAATGGGAGGGCGAATACGAGGAGAGAGACATGGAGGACGAAGATTAGGAGCCGGACACAGAAACAAAAGCATGATGAGGAGGAAGAACGAGAGGAGGATGAGCACGAGGATGAAGAAGAAGGCAAGGAGGAGGCTGAAGAGGAAGAAGAAGAGGGCGAGGACGAGGAGGCGGCAGAGTAGGAGAATTACAAGGAAGAAAACATGGAAGAAGGGAAGGGGGGGAGGAGGACAACGACAAAGAAGAAGAGGAGAAGGAGGAGGACGAAGAGATGAGAGGAAAATGACGACGAAGAACGAGGAAGGAGGAGGAGGAGGAGGAGGAGGAGGAGGATGACGAGGAGGATGACGAGGAAGAAGAGGACGGGAAGTAAGAAGAGATGGAAGAAGACGACAAAGAACGCGGAAGGAGGACGACAACGAGGACGAAGCGATGGAGGAGGAAGAACAAGGTTGGAGGACGAGGACGGCGAAGAAGATGAGGAGAAGAGGGAGGAGGAAGAAAAGGAGGAGCAGGCCACGAAAGAAAGGACGAGGAGGAGAAGAGATGGAGAAAAGAATGATGAAGAAAGAAGGGGGATCGCGGCGAGGACGACGAAGTAGGACGTAGGAGGAGGAGGAAGAAGGAGAACACGAGGAGGACGACGACAAGAGGGACGGCGAACAAAAGGACTCCGAGGACCACAGACACAAACGGAGGACGGGGAGGAAGAAGAAAAGGAGGACGAGGGTGAGGAGGAAGAACAGGACGAGAAGGAGGACGAGGAGGAAGAATGACATGGAAGAGGACGACAAAGAAAAAGGGAGGAGGAGGACAAGTACAAGGACAAAAAGTGAGAGAGAAAATGAGGACGACAATGAGGAGAAGAAAGAGGACGACGATGAGGAGAAGAAAGAAGAAGCGGGCGAAGAAGAAGAGGAGGAGAACGAGGAAGAGAGGAGGAAGAGATCGAAAAGGAGGATGAGGAGGAGGATGATGACAAGGAGGAGAAAGAAATGGAGGACAGAGGGGGAGGTGATGGTGGAAGAAGGCGGATGGCAAGGTCGCCTACCTGGCGAAGCTTGCGATGGCGGCGTGGAGAGGGCTCCTGCTGGCAGTGGCGTCTGCGACGTGGCCACCGGCCAAACGTAATCGCCGAAATTGCGTGCTACGCAGAGAACACGCGCGAAAAGTTTGAATTTCAAAATGGCCCAATCCGGGCCGCAGATCTTCCAGATCGGACAACCCACATTGGGCCCCTTTTTTTTTCCAACATTTGAGGGTCTACCGGCCTGGAAAAAATTAAGCGTCGGTCCGGTCTGGTAGCCCGTAGCCTACATAATATGCCTTGCACCCTACAGGGGCAAAAAAAGGCTGCCACATATTTATCCCCCCAGGCGGACGATTTGTCTTGGGCGGACGTCCTGGGGATCGTCCGGTCGGACAACTCGGACAACCTGACGGGTCCTGGACGTCCGCCCGGGTAAGCTAGCTTTACAGTTTCTCCAGAGTGCTTCTGCAGTTGTGCTTTCGAAACGGCGTCTGTAAAATGTCCGTTCAGGCGCTCCGCACAACTTGGAAGGACGATTCAAATTGTTGCAAAGTTAAGTTACCAACAATTTCTGTGGGATCCTTCCACAAGTTATTTTGTCTCACAAAAAAAAAAAAAAAAAACAGTTGTACTTGGGGCGATCGGCGATCACAGCCCTGCCCGCATATAATTAAAGAAAAACTTAATTTGTTACCAAGTTACGGACAGCGTCCGCAAGGTGCTTCCACGAGTGGGGCCCTGCCATTGGGGATCACAGTGCTGCCTGCATCTAGTTTTGCTGACAGGTATTATGTACCTCCCACTCTCCCAACAGAGAGCCCCTCCCCCCTCAAATGTACCTCACACTCTCCCAACAGAGAGCCCCTCCCCCCTCGACTTCCTCACACTGCTCGGTGCTCTGGACACTGAGGAAAGCACCCGACGCCCGTTGCATTTCTGATACCCAACCACTACTTTGGGCATCGCTCCGACCACTCACCAAATGTGCAAAATGAGAATGAATCTTCGCCTAGAAAATGGAAAGATACACCTCCATATTTTTTGTCCTGTGTGTGTGTGGCAAGTAGTGGAGCAAGGCCCTTTGATATCACAAAAAACTGTCGAAGTGTATAATCCTGAGCTGCACCAGAAGTGCGCTTATCCAATAGAGATTTCTCAAATATTAACTAATATCTCTCTTTCAGAAGCTAAAACTGCAAGCCCGGTCATTATAGCTGTATTTGGCCCAACTTTCAGCCCAGATACGGCGATAATTACTGGGCGTTCTCTTCGGGTGAAGACGGTAGTGTTGCTAACCCTGTTCAAGGCACCAGCACTTTTGGGGGTCCTACAATCGTGGGTGGGTGTTGTGAATCGATCCTAATGGAAATGCCAGGCTTGGGGCTCAGAACTACCCCTTGGATTGGGGTTATTATTCAAGGCCTAATTGACCCCTCTTACAGATTGGGGTCAAGGTGTATATTAGTTTGGGTTTTTCTGTAAAATCTTGCCCGCCGGCGTTCGCATCGTCTGCACAGCTTGCTGCCGCAGACCGATAACCGAAGAGGAGACTGAAAGTGTGGTGCTGCATGCAAATGCACCAGAGCAATGGGACACTGGAACTTGGTACCAGAGCAGCAGATGGATTCGTATTCAAGGCCTAATTGACCCCCCCTTACAGATTGGGGTCAAGGCTATTAGTTTGGGTTTTTCTGTAAAATCTTGCCAGCCGCCCTTCGCATCATCTGCACAGCATTGCTGCCGCAGACCGATAACCGAAGAGGATACTGAAAGTGTGGTACTGCCATGCAGATGAACCACAGCAATGGGGCACTGAAACTCGGTACCAGGGCAGCAACTGATTCACAGAATGAGACTTACCAGGGCAGCAAATGATTCATAGAATGAGACTTGGGAACTCGTACCACCACCAGAGATGACCCATGAATGAGACTTGGGAACTCGGTACCACAACCAGAGATGACCCATTTAAACCCTATGACAGATGCCCACAGGCTGAATGAAACAGATGTGCAGCTTGTTGAAGCCCTTCATTGCTGCAAACGCTGCTCGCAACTAAAATCCGCAGCAGTCGGGAATTTCCAGCTGGCAAGTGACCTGAGGGGTCGCCCCTCAGCAGTCCACAAAAACTTGGGACATGGTAGGCCTACCAAGCTTTTTAAACTTATTCTGCCAGCCCCCAGCACATTGAATTAAACGATAGGCAACGAAATCAGCCAACACAACTCACCTGAGTAGTAGCGTATCACAGAAATGAAAGTCTGTAATACCCCCCCCCCCTCCCCCCCGGCATTGGCCCGGCAATGAATTCCGGCTGACATGCTAGGCCTACTGAGAATTCACTCACATTACACACAGCATTGCATGGCTATCAAGAATTTCAAGAAATTCAACCCACTGCATAATAATGCATCCAACTGCATACCCCAGGACACCCTTACCAATTTCCACCCTCTGGATACCCCTGTAAATTTCCACCCCCTGGATGCCCCTGCCAATGTCCATCCCTTATATACCCCTGCCAACTCCCACCCCCTTAAAGCACCAGTACACCACACATCGGCCCGCGGGTGTCAGCACGAAACCCACACCACTTCGGAGGCAGCCGAGTTTTTTTTCAGCGGCGCCCCACGCCGCGCAGCCCCTCCGGGTTTTGCTTGTGGCAACAAAAATTTTCTGCAAGGCTGCGGCCGTGTACTTGCAGTTTAATCCACCGGTACCTCCAAGCCTCTTTTTTTCCCGATGGAAAGCCTGCACAGCACTGCTTTCCTCCTTTGGCTGGCGTCGCTAGCCATTTTGGTCCGGTACCACACTCTTTATCCCAAAAACATCGATTGATGCACTTCCAGTTCTCAAGTTTGCCTGGGCAAGGCGCTGACGGTTTAGTGCCACTGCCGACTTCCACCCTTGGATACCCCTGCCACCCATCACGCATGAGTACCCCCTTTCTGCCCGACATGCTCACTTGTGTTGATTGCATTGAGCGTGCATTTTCAGCAATGACCTGAGGCGAAGGCTAGTTATCTCTACAAAATCATCGTCTTCAGTCCCCCAAAGCATTGATTGCATCATGAGAGAGAGATGGCACTCCCCAAAACACTAACTGTCATCATCGTGTTTCATCTTTCTCCTTCGTCAGACTGGCTCCACTAACAGCACCCTTCTCAACGCCACCTCCAGCATAGAGCTCACTCTCTCCTTTCTTATCAACAATACCTCCTCCAATGCATCTTCAACACTGCTCCCACTCGTCTACCACCTCCTCCTCCTCCTCCTCCTCCTCCTTCGTCAGATTGGCTCGATCAACTGCACCCTTCTCAACGCCAGCTCCAGCATAGAGCTCACTCTTTCCCTTCTTATCAACAATACTTCCAACGCATCTTCACTGGTGTTCCCCCTCCTGTACGACTACCACCACCTCCTCCTCCTCCTCCTCCTCTTCCTCGTCCTCCTCCTTCACTCTCCCGTGTTTTGAATCCATCCCCCATCAGCTCCTCTTCACTGACCCCTGCTCAATGCCGCGTCATGCAGATTCACCCCCTCCACATCCCCCTCACACACACTCCCTCCACACATTCCCTTGTCGACTGCTGCTTCATGCCTAGTGTACGTCCCTCTCTAGCCATGCTATTCCTAAACCACAGGTGCCATTATACCTTTTCCCTGCAGCCATTTTGCAGCCCCCTAAACGGACCCCCCCCCCCCCCTTCCGAGGGACCAAATTCAGGTGCCTCGTCACAAACAGAGCCCTCAGAGCTAAGTTCAGCTAACACAGATTAGCAAGGGAGACACGAGATGAATGAGACACAGAATTAGAGACCTGTCACCCGGAGAGGGGGTTACGTTTCCCTGACCATTCCCTCCCTCCCTCCCTCCCCACCCTCCTTGTTCCCCTCCCCCTCCCCCGCGTACTCTTATCCAGCAAACAGATCTGTCTGAAGATAAACATGTGTATGTCTGAAGAGCCTACCAACCTCCATTTCATCGTCACCATCATCACAAGGACCTGGAGCAGCTGCTACACCTTCATCCGCTCCACTCTCATCCTAAAAAATATCACACGAAGAAAAGCCAATAACTTGTCACGGACGGGCTGGGCAGATACCTAAACTTTTCTCTTTCCTTCGAGTCAAAGTCATCTAGACCTTCACATCCCTCACCTCACCCTATACGACAATCATTTCGTTTCTTTGCCAAAAAGATGAGCTGATTATCATGGCTACCTAAGGGGACAATGGTTCAACAGCATCACAATAAAAAAAAGGCATCTACCAGGAAAGGAGTGAGTGATTCATCCAATCAATCACGTAGTCCCTCCCACGTCAGAGCAGTGAACCCATCAAAATCAGGCCTCGCCCGAAACAATGGGCGGGGAGATACCACCAAACCACGTGACTGGATATACACAATCACACCTAGTTAGTTGTGTCTTCCGCTCAGAAAACTTATTTCTCAGTTCAATCAAATCCAATAAAAAAAATCCAGATTGAAATCCAAATTAAAATCGGAATCAAATCAATCACCGTCAAATCCATCCCCAATCAGTGGTCCAAAATCAATCCATTCCACAAACATACAACCCACCCGAAAGAAATCCAATCCAAATCCACATCCAATCTAATCCAATCCAATCCAATCCAATCCAATCCAATCCAATCCAATTCAATCGAAAACCCATACAATCCACAATTCAATCCAAAACCGATCCGATTCGGTCCGATCCGATCCAATCCAATACGATCCGAAATCCACAGAATCCAATACAATACAGCCTCAAATTAAACTCGATCCGATCCACACAAACCCAAAATCAACCGAAGACTCGACCAATAAGATCCAATCCAAATTGAGTTGAACTCTCACTCCAATCCTCTCCAAAATTGACCCGATCCAAGACCAATCCAATCCCAGAGGAATGCAATCCGATCCAATCCAATCCGATCCAGTCCGATCCAATCCAATGCAACAGATGAACTGAACGTACTTTTTCCAAATCATCAAATTAAATCTACCCAATGCTCTGTATGCATCCATCCAGCCACTAAGCCAATCAACAAAATCAATCAAATCAATCAAATCAATCAATGTATTAAATTCAACGCGATCCTATCTCCAATCAAACCCTAACCGATCCATAAAATCCATCCGACCCCACCTCCCATCCTCCCTCCCTTCCCCCCCTCCGTACAACCAATCTATGCATCCGCCAAGCCACTCAGCCAATCAACAAAATCAATCAGATCATTCAATGTACTAAACCAAACCCAATCCTATCCACAATCAAACCCTAACCGATCAATCCAATCCCTCCCCTCCTCCCTCCCTCCCTCCCTCCCTCCCTCCCTCCCTCCATACATCCATCCAATACATCCATCCAATACATCCATCCACTCCTCTACCTTCATCGATCCATTCTACAATCACTGTGGACTGCCCCAAATGGTGGCTCAGCACAGCATCAAAATTGCACTTGGCCCTGTTTTAAAACCATGTGCATGAAAGCTTTAACAGGCGACGCATGTGCAACAAATCTCCACAAATTACAAATTCTGTCGCAACTTCGATGTAATTCTGTACAACGTCTGAAGCTACGAGGAACACACTTGGACGAAAGACTACCTGCACAGGAATTGGCCCCATCTCGTCTTCCTCTTTTTTCACTCGCACCACCGATGCCCGCTCCAACCGCTCTGCTCGTTCCAATCGCTCTGTTCTCTCCCTCCTTGCTGGCAACTGCCTTCTGCAAGCAAACAGCAAACGCGGGCACCACAAGAGACGATGCACCCACAAGGTGACGACGATGCCCGGAGAACCCCCCCCCTCCCCCCCTACTACCCAATTGGGACTCGTTTCATTGAGGGGAAAAAAAACTCATTCAAAAAAGCTATTCCAAATTTCAAGCTATCCAGCGATAACTTGTCAAATCATCCACATTTCGCTCACGAGAAGGCGCACAGCAAATGACACCAAAGCCACACCAAACAGATATGCAAGCTTAACCTCAGAAACTTGGAACTCGTTGAGCTTTTTTTTTTTTTTTTTTTTTTTGTGCATGACACAAAGCAAGGCACAGACATATCACCACCACCAGCTGTAGACCCCTTGATGTATATAGTACGACAAATATAAAGGAGCTAAAATAACCCTCAGAAATTTGGTGAGTAGTGGAGATGATATCTACGAAGAGAAGTTTGAAAGTTTCTTAATTGCAGTGATGTTTGTCAGCCTGATAGAGGCTCCACAGCTAAGACTCCTGCGAGCCTCCATGTAGGACGAGAAAAAAAAGTTAAAACACACCACACGTGGAGTCCAGGACCTTTTCTTTTCTTTTTTTCCCCCCTCGACACGCGGACCATCGAAGGCAGTGTAACTAAAGCTAGTAAACCACCAGTACCTTTGTCGGTTCAAAAATACTCGGCCTCTGACCTTTCAGGAGGCCGAAACGAAACAACAGCCGCCGATCAGATTGATCAACGTCGGGCTCGGCCTCCTGAAAGTTCGGGTACTGGCCAGGACTTGTCAAAATCGGACGCCAAAGGTACTAGTGGTTCAAACTGTTTTTTTTTCGTTCTGTACTACCTATAGTAATGACACAACGCCATCCAAGGCAACGTAACTAGAGTTACTGAGCTTTTTTTTTCTATTCCTCGACACGTGGACCATCAAAGATTTGTCTTTCCTAGGCACAAAGATATTGCCACCAGTTGCGGACCTTTGACGTAAAAAAATTGTACAATATTAACAATATTAAAATATCAAATATGCACTGAACAGTGAAAAACAGAGAGGCAAAAAAAAATGTAGAACGAGCGGCCAGGGAAATGTCAGTAGTACTCAGTACCATCTCTGTTGTTGTGGAGTTTTAAAGGTTTAAACCACCAGTACTCGCTAAAGTCGTACACGTTAACAAGCCACGATTTTAGGAAACGTACCGGCCACTACAGGAGCGCCCAAATTCATCTGACTAGAAACGTTTCTACTCTATTTTGTTTTTCCGCGGCCGATAGCTGGGCCACGTACTGGTGGTTTAAAAGGTTAAAACTTGAAACAGAAAAAGATGGGAAAAGAAGAAAGAAAAGAAAAAAGGGACAAGGGAAATGTCAGTACCTTCCTCCATCTCTCTCAATTCCTGACGATTCTGACACGCGATGGTGATGATGTGGTCTCCGCCCATCCTCTGAGTCTGAAAGTTCCCCCTCGTAGAACCGATCCCTCCCCCGAACATCAGGATCTTCTTCCTCCTGTTCGCCATTACATGTCAAGGAAAAAAAAAAAAAAAAAAAAGAATCAGATCCGCAACAAGTCAGGGTAGGCTTCAGGGGCTTATCAGGAGGACAGCTGGTTAACAAAGGCAATTTTAAGACCCCTTTCAAACCCAAAACCTGTATCAGAATTTTCATCGTTTGTGTCATGCGACATGTAAGTTGTGAGAAAAGGCCAAAACCTTTTAAACCAAACTTGCCACAATTCCATAGAGTGGAGAACGAACAAAACAACAGCAGAAAATAAATAAAAGAGTAAAATGCTAAAAATCTAGGTTACCTGATTGGACGTCCGGGCCCCCCCTGACCGTCCGGGGTTGTCCGATCGGACAACTGGTCGGACGTCCTCCCCGGGCGGTCTGTCCGAGCCCCAAAAAAAAAAAAAAAAAAAAAAAAAAAAAAACAACTCAGAAAATCTGAAAACAAAGTATGTTATACAGAAAAATAAACTGAACAACTTTTGCCGTGGAATCATATCCAAATTCGCTGCCAATTTTAAAAAATAAAATAAAATAAAATAAAACCCTTTTTTTTTTACTTTTTTTGTGTTTTTAATTGCTAAAAATGGAGTTGTCCGGGCCCGGACGTCCGGGACCCCCCTGACTGTCCGCCCAGGACGTCCGGCCAGGACGTCCTGCCATCGGACAACTGGTAGCCTAGCAATACATCCAATAACACAAGATCAAAATAAAATCCGACCATCTCGGGTCGAAATCTATCTCTATACCCTTAAAGCAAGCAAAGGGCCCAGCGTGACGCCCCCGCCGGGCCCAGCAGAAACTGGCGCGGAGGCGGTGGGTCCTAAACGGCGTGGCAGTGGAGGGGCGCGGGACAAGGAGGACGCGAGGCAGCGAAAATGTGGGCGGAGCCGGAGGCCCTGGGAAAGGGAAGAAGGTGGTGGCGGCGGTTTGTGGAGGCCCTGGGAAAACCGCGGCGCGCGGAAATTGGCGGTGCCGGTTCGTGCAGGGGCAGGGCAAGGGAAAAATGGCGCAGGCGATAAGGGCACACGGGCTTTTTTGCGTGGGTGTGGGGTAGCATGGTGCAGTGCGTGCGCGGGCCTGCAGGCTTTTTCCCCCGGGCGCGGGACGAGGGAGGGTCTGCAGGGGGGGTACGGGCCACGGTAGTTATCGTCTCTCTCTCTCTCTCTCTCTCTCTCTCACACACACACACACACACACACACACACACGAACTATTCATTCCGATTTTGCTAAAAACGTGGCAGTGTATATTTTCACGTTTCAGCGGAAGATTCATTCTGTTTCTGCTCATCCTATCGATG